AACGACTCGATGGCACATAACAACAACAAACAATTGATGATAAAACATGAATAGAATAGGTAGAATAGACTAGAAATGATGCAGTTATTGAAAAAGACAAACATTTAAAATGTAGACTACAAGATACACATTGGGTAAAATTTAAGCTTTGAAAAAGAAACATCTGTTTTGTATATCTACAAATATCATACAAAGTTCTTTGGGGGTTAAATTATGTGTATCTTCATGATTAGAAAATAATAATAATGTTTTACAGGGAAAAGACTTTGCATTTTAATATGGAGACTTTAACATTTTTTCTCCCTTTAGAACTTAGAGTTCTGGAGGATGGGAGGTTTGTCACCTTCCCGTTCCTTTTAAGGAATGAGCTTTCCCTTCCTCCCTCCTTCCCTCCCGCTCTCCTTCCCTTCCTCCCTCCCTCTTTTTTACCTTTCCTCCCTTCATCCCTCACATTCTCTTCCCGTTCTTTCTTCCTCCTCTCCTTTTCCTTTCTTTTCTTCCCTTCCTCTTTTATTTCCTTCCACAGCATGGATTTGAGTCTCTTTACCAGCCAGGTTCTCCCATTGTGTCCGACCTCTAGTTTTTAGAAATCTTTTATCCAAGGTGATGCCTGTAAGGTCAATGATACTTGAAAGTTCTGAAATGGGCTACCTGAGTAGAGTAACTCTAATGTCTCCCTTTTCCCTGATCCCAAAGACCCAGAACCTGGCAAGCAATTATCTCAGGGTATCAGCAGCTGTTCAAGTTTGTATGTATCTCTTGGATTCAAGTCACAGTCCTTTCAATTGCTTCCTATGCGTTTGAAAGTTGGACAATGAAGAAGGACGACAGAAGAAGAACTGATGCCTTTGCATTGTGGTTTTGGAGAAGGGTTGAATGTTCTGGACTGCCAAAAGAAAAAATAAGTCTGTCTTGGAGGAAGTGTGACCAGGGTGTTCCTTAGAGGCAAGGGTTGGTGGGACTTCATCTCACGTACTTTGAGTATATCAGGAATGGCCAGTCCTTGGAGAGAGACACCATGGTGGGAAGGGGAGAGGGTCAGCCCAACAAGATGGATTGACACAGAGACTAACAATGGCTTGCACCTCTCAGAGATGATGAGTCTGATGCAAGACAGGGCAAGGTTCAGATCTGTTCACAGGGTCGCTATGAGTTGATAGCACTTAAGGACAATGATAATTTTTTTTCTTATGTCATTTGAGGAAGTTCTGGTGGCCTAGTGGCAAGACACTGTGCTGCAATCCCGAAGGCACGCGGTTTGAGACCAATAGCTGCTCCGCGGGAGAAGGATGGGCCGTCTTTTCCCATGAGATTGACAGCCTCTGAAAACCAGCTGGAGGGTCAGCTATGGGTCCGTTCTGACTTGACAGTACACAACTACAACAACAACATGTCATTTGAGTGAAAGTTTCAAATGGATTTGATGTTCCATTAAGCCATTCATATGCATTTTGTTTTAGGACATTAATTATAATTATTAATTAGGACATTAATTAAAAATTCACAAGGTAGCCCCACGCTTCCCATTTTCTCTTTGTGATGGTAAGAACTGTTTTGGAAACAAGCCCTCGATCATGTTCGACTAAATTACTACTGTCTTTATTTCTGCTATTATGATGGGAGAGGAAGGATGAAGGGGATTTTTCATACCACAACTGCCAAGGAAGTTTGGAAATGTAGTTTACTGTAACTGGTCTTCAGTCAACTTGACCTTCAGAGTGACATTCTGTTGCTGTTCTATAAAAGTTCCAACAATGCTGTAGTTTAGGAATTGGAATGCTAATGACAAGGTTGGCAGTTCAAATCCACCATCCATTCCATAGAAGAAAAATGAGACAGTTCACTCTCTTAAAGATTTGTTGTTGTTGTTGATTGCCTTTGAGTCGAGCATGACTCATAGCGACCCTGTGAACAAAAGGCCTGAAGCCCCTCTACTATAACTATCGGCATTTATTAAGTTCATAGAGTTTCCGGAGGCAAGTGGTTTAGGATGTGGATGCCACTCCTGCTTCCAATTTACAGCCTTGGAAATCCTTTAGGGTCACTTTGCTTTGTAAACCACTTGATGCCAAGTTATTTGTTTGTTTTTTACACTTATTTATTTCTTTTTATTACTGTTGTGGAAGTGGAGGACAGATATTGGAGACAAACCCTTTTTATTACAGGTGTTATAAAAAATGATATTATTCTCCCATCTTGTTAATTCTGAGAAAGAGTAAACTCAGTGGCAAGATATGGGATTCAGTGGAAAGTTAGTTTTGATCTTGAGTGAGAAGGAACCTTTCTCTTCTTTCTGTGGGGAGATGTGAAAGAGAGCACATTAATGGTGGAAAAGCATGGAAACTGTCTAGAGAATCTGATTCCTATAAAGATGGTTTTGGGATCACTCAGGTGAGACACATCTGAAGAAAGTCTTTGTATTGTAGATATTTCCTGTGGTACAAGAATTTCCAGGAAAATATTTCAAAAAGTTGTACTCTGTAAGGCATTGCAGAAAAATCTTCACTCTTGGACAGGGTGAGATTATATAGTGTAGAGAATCAATAAAGATGTTCTCTTAATGAAATAAGGGGATACATGGTAGACAGAAAGACATTTTTAAAAAATACAGGAATGGGGTCTATGTCATTGTATTTGAACATGGAAAGAAGTTAGACTTGGTGATTGCTGAATTAGGAGGTATAATTTTTTTTATTTTATTTTTTATTATTTTTGTGTGTGTACTGTCAAATCAGATCTGACTGGTACAAGAGGAGATTATTCCTCCTTCTCCAGCAGAGCGTCTAGTGGATTTGAACTGTGCACCTCTGGGAATGCAGTGCAGCTTCTTGCCACTAGGCCACCAGAGCTCGCCGAGGTATAATATTTTATACTTCTCATTTTGTAAATTAATAAACTGATGCTATTATGAATAAGGGATTAGCTCTAGGGCAAGCAGTTAAAAAGTACCAGAATCGTAACGCTAACCAGGAAGGATGAGACCCAAATCTCCATCCTCTTAAGGTCTACACTGCAGTCCTTAGAAATGTGAATGCTTTCTCTGGATTAGTACCATCTTTTTTGCCCAACGGTCTATAGCTTCCTTGTGTCCTCTCGACTCTCTAACTTTATCCTTTCAGTAGAGTCACAAATGGCCTTCAGCTGGTCCCAACTGAGATTTACTCTAAAGTGACATTCTAAAGACTTTGTAAAAAAAAGATGTAAGAAAATATCATAAATATTTTTTATGTTGTCTACATATTTATATGATGTGTTGAATTTATTGTAATAAATATATTGTTATTGTTGTTGTGTACCATAGAGTTGGAACCAGCCCATAGCTGCATGGGAAGAGACTGCCCACCTCTCTCCCTCAGAGCAGCTGGTGGCCCCGAACCATGTGCCTTTGGGATTGGCTCCCAGCTATTTGCCAGTAGGTCACCAGAACTTCCAATAAATATATTACTACATTACTAGAGGGTCAAGGACTGTAGACTCCAATATGGATTGAGGCTCAATGTCAAGAAGACAAAGATTCTCACCACTGAACCAATCAGGATGGATGATGAAGAGATTGAGATTGCTCACAGCTTTAGTCTCCTTGGCTCCACAGTCAACACTCTTGGCACCAGTAACCAGGAAATTAAAAGACATATTGCAATGGGAAAGTCTGCTGTTAGGGACCTTTCCAAAGTACTGAAGAGCAATGGTGCCTCTCTGGAGACTAAGGTGCCATCTGATACAGGCCCTGGTTTTGCAATCACTTGTTATGTATCAGAGAGTTGGACAATGACTAAAGAGGATAGAAGGAGAATTGATGCCCTTGAGCTGTGGTGTTGGAGAAGAGTACTGAGGGTGCCATGGACTGCTAGGAAAACAAACAGATTCATCCTGGAAAGGGTTAAACTGGGTGGCTCCCTGGAGGCAAGGATTCTGAGGCTCTGTTTAATATGCTTTGGACATGTTGTAAGGAGGGACCAGTCCTTGAAGAGGGACATCATGCTTGGTAGAGTGGAGGAACAGTGCAGGAGGGGAAGGCCCTCTTTTAGGTGGACTGATACAGTGACTGGGGTAATCGGGATGGGAGTGTCAGAGACAGTGCGATTGGCACAGGACAGAGCAGAGTTTAGGGCTATCGTTCATAGGGTCACTATGAGTCTCAAGCGACTCAACGGCACATAACAACAACAACATTACTAGAATTAATTGATCTTATTTCTTTTGGTTTTTAGAGTCTGCTAGAAAACTTAACATTATATACTGTCGCTGTTGATTGCTGTTGAGTCGAGCAAGACTCATAGCGACTCCATGAACAAAAGACCTGAATCCTGCTCTATAACTATCGTCATTTTCTCTAAGTTCATAGAGGGTCTGGAGACATGTTGTTTAGGAATTGGATGCCACTCCTGCTTCCAAGCCTGTCTTAATCTGAGATCGCCACTATGGGTGACCATTAGAGCATTGACACATCAATGGCACAGTGTTCATCATCACAGCAACCCCAAGTTACCTCAGTACAGCAAATTGACAGACCAGTTCTATCCAAACACAATTAACACGAGGCCTGAGGGCCCAAGCTGACTTTTAAGTACAGAGACCCGCCCACCAAGTCCTGATTGACGCTAAACAAGAGGTTTCCAGCCCACTTAAACAATATTTATTTAATAATTAATCACAAGGGACACAATCCTGTGTCTTATCAAATAGACCAAGAAGATTGTGAATAATTTGAGCTCCAGTTGTGGTGCCGACAGCATCTATGGTGGTGACGCTGCGACTTCTGATGCGAAAGCCATGTTTTCGGTGCTTTCTGTGGTGTCACTTGTGGAGGAAGTAGCAGTAAGACTGTTGGAGGAGTTCAAAGTGGTGGCATTTGTGATGGCAGAGCTGACTTTGTTAGAAGAGCTGATGGAAATGATTTTGGGAAGAACAGGTATAATATGGTTTGCTGGTGACATAGCAATAGAATCCTTGGAATATTTTAGATGTCCTTGGTGATCCTCTTCGAATGTTTGTAGCACTTCAGATTGGATGAAGTGTCTTATCATTTGAACGATTTTTGGTCCCATACAGCATTTTTTATTCTTGCATGGCTTTATCTCTTTTTCATCCACAGTACAAGAATCCTTGCATTTCCCAAAACCCATTAAACACTTTTTCACTCCAAAGAATTCTGCACAGAGAAAAGAGAGAATCACTGGGCAAAGATTAATAACCAGAGGTAAGGTTAAAACTGTTGGAGGAAGAGATAGAGGAAGAAGGGGTTTGCAATACTATGTTTTAAGCTCAGTGCTTAGAGATGCTGATAGGACTTTAGACACCCCCAACTTAGACAACTGTGGTGTGTGACTCTTCCACCCCCATGAGTCTAAGGAATACCAACAGGGGTCAAATCTGACACAAAATTAGTCCAATAAAGCACGCCAAAATAAGGAGTCTGGTTAACCATCAAGATGGTGCCATTTTTATTGTTATGCCTCTCTCTCAGCTGCAGGCCCAGTCTTGACTCCTGAGTAGAAGATTTCAAAAGGCAGCACGGGATGACAAAGTAAAATATTACAATGAAATGTGCAAGGAGTTGGAGTCAGAAAATGAAAAGGGCCGAACTCGCTCAGCGTTTCTTAAGCTCAAGGAACTGAAGAGCAAATTCAAACCTCTTAAGCTCAAGTAGCCTTTCAGCAATGTCAAAATTTGGGACCATTAAGTAAGCCAACTTGGTTGACTGAGAGTTGGACTGATCTTGGGCATCACAGCTTTTCTGTGGGCCTAATCTTATCAAACAACATGATGAAGTTGGTTGAGCATGTAAAAGAAGAATGAGCTGGAATAAGCTATTGAAAGACTAATAGAATAGTAATTAAGGAGCGGTTCCACTGTATGTGGAACCTAAAAGTCTAAGCTGATTGGCTGCTGGCAGAAGAAAGATGAGCTGTATCTTCCTGTAAAGATTTACAGCTTCAGAGGCCTGGTGGAGGGTCACTGGGAATCAGATTGGACTCCACAGCACTGGGTTTGATTTTATGGTGATTACTTTAGTCTGTCAGGATTTTGGATCTTTTAATCATAAAAATGGGGGAGGGGATAAAAAAAGGATATGTGACTATTGTTAACATTTATGTGTTGCATCATTAAGTGAAAAAAATATTTCTGTATGTCTATTGTAATAACTTGCAGGAGATATTAATTCTAAGGTAAAGCATTAGAATGATTTCACCTTGGAGGGAACATTGTACTGAATGTGCAAGTTGAAGAAAGACATCAATAAACAAAGTTTAATGTCAAGGAAACCTTAATGTTCTCTTTCTAAAGAGAATCATCAAGAATTTTAGGAACATTCTCTTTTGCTAAATGCAGTGCACCTTGTCCTCACCCTTTTCAACAATGTTTCAACATGTGGTTCTTGGGACACGACATTCTATCATTTTCAGCCTGTCCTGACATTCTGTCCCTCAAAGGTCTTATTCATGACCATGTCCTCATTTTTTTTTAAGATAACTCCCACATAGTGTTATCTATGGCTCTGAATCTCCTCATTAGCTCAGTTCCTCCTTGTCATCTGCTGTATTTTTCCACCCCAATAGCTCACCTTTTCTGAATCAAGAAAGCTTTTTGCGTCTATTTAATTCAGTGAATTTTCCATAGTAAGAACATATTTGTACAGCACCCTAAAATGTTCTAAGAATGTTCATGTAGATTTTCACATATTTCCTTCTGAAGTTAAAACAGGAAACTTCTTTGAGGTAAGTCTAAATATTTCTCCCTTCTTTTGAAAACACAATGGCCAACAGTTCAACCTTCTGTCATGTGCTCTTATCTGCTCCTTATGGTAATTTGGGAGGTTTGTAGGAGGACAAAGCCTAAGAGGAGGGGATGATGAAACTCTGTACAATCTGGGCAAGTTGTGGGGAGAACATAAACTTGGTTTCTAAGAGCCCAACTTCTTGCATAGAAAGGTAGTGACGTTCCCCTTGCTATACCAAAGTACACATTGATAGGAACGATTTCTGTGTTAGATAATTTATGAATTTACAGAGAAAATTTTCTCTGTAGTCCCCTAGATGCCTCCACCAGGCCTACCCTAGGGCTCGGGCTTTATAGGGGCGCTTGGGAGATACAGCCTTGCTGAGGCAATGAGGAGGCTCTTCAGCCGTCTCTTTGAGTACTTGATCACAATTAATTCCATAGGCAGTCAAATCCCTTCTTCCTCACACTGACCTCTCTTAAACATAGGATTCCACGTTACCTGCATTCACCTGGGATTGAAGCATGAGGCTTGCGAAGATGGGAAAAAAGAGCTTCATGGTTGGGTGCCAGGGAGAAAGTCTTGGATCTGGAGGATGTTCTTGAGCTCCAACCTTTATTGGTCTCCTTTTGGCCTTAGGCCATAGGCAGTGAAGCACAGCCAAAGAAGGGCTGTGTGCTGTTCCCAGCAGTTGGGTTTTATTGTTTTGCTAACACCTGTCCAGAATACTTTAATGCAGAAGATTCTCTATTCCTGATTCTCAGGGAAAACATAAGAGGAAGAGAAGATAGGAAAGAAACAACAAGACCTTTGAACTTCCCTTTCTTAATTCTGCACTAGGGTCAGAATGATATATTTGCTTCACTATTTATTATTATAAGAGTAAAAATATCTATCACAACAGATTCCTGAAAGATAGTGACTTTGTTTTGTTTACATTGAGGTCTCTAGTATCCAATATGATTACTGAACCAATAGTTGTTGAATGCTTTTGTGGTCTTGGCATGACTTTTTTTTTATTATTAAATTTTATTAGTTTTAATGAACATTTACAGAGATTTTGGGTTTTCATTCATTCATTGTTGCACTGTTTTCTCCATCCTCCTCCCCAGTTC